CACTTCGCTATAAATGCTTCACCCACGTACTACAAATGCAAATAATCGCCAACCAAAGCTAAACACCTAACCTAACCTATGCCTATATATGCACAATATGCTAATATATTATAATATTAATTTATATTTGAGAAAATTCTTGTTCTGAATGAACAGCATGTTAAAATTTATGAATGCGTCTGTGGAGTCGACCGCTGAATGTAATGGACTTGAGTCGAGGACGGGTTGTCGAACCACAACGCTGTAAATGCTTCACCCACGTACTACAAATATAAATAAACGGCAACGGAACCTAAACACCTAATCTAACCAGTGCCTAACTATGCACAATATGCTAATATATAATAATAATATTAATTTATATGTGAGAAAAGTTCTGTTGTGAATGATCATAATGTTAAAATTGATGAATGCGTCTTTGGGGTCGACTGCTGGATAGAATGGACATGGACGGTTGCTTCGTGGGACCGACCTCCAATATAAGGTAAGCTTCTATTATCTTTTATTTCCTTAGATTTCGTAGTAAAACAATTCAGGAGACCTATCAAAGACCCATTCACTGGTCGCTGGATATCATCACAAGTGTAGATCAGGATGACACGGGCTGTATAGCACAAACACAATAGTTAATTTGTAGGGTACATTTCTTGTTAACACAATATTGGATTATTTGATTGTTTCAAGCGTAGGTTAGACATGTATGTGAATGAGTTTCATTCTATTTAATAGGAGCAGCCTCGTATAGCCAAAAGGCTTTCTGTAATTTCATAAATACGTATGTTCTTAGGTTAAACATATATGTTATGTTCTTAAGAAAAGTGACAGGTTAAGTTACTGATAAATACAAAGAGGATATTGTAAATAAGTGTCGAATTTACAATTATTTGTTATTTGCCGGATATGCTGTTATTTGGTAGCATATCCGCGGGTGAATGAACCGATGTAGGTAATGCAGAGGGACACGGTTCGAGACCCATTCATCCCAGGTGAATTGGAATGGACACGTTGACCAGTTTAGTGGTTGGCAAGGAGTAGTTTGTTGAACAAATATTTACCTGGTGAAGTATTTACCAGGAGTCCTTAAAGAATCTAAACTTGAACTTGAATCTAATGCTTAACATAGTGAGCTCTTGTCTTACATATTTAGTAAACAATTTGAATCAACAGAATACAAGAATCGTGGAAGGTTGTGAATGTGGCGCCGCTTTATGGAAAGTAAGTATATTGTTTGTGTCAAATAATTGGTCAATTACCTTAACGTCCATTGTAAAGGGTATGTGACCTGACTCTCGCCACCTCACTGTGACTCACGATCATTGTGTGGGCGACCTCACTCACGGTTAAAAAGGATTACAGACAGTAACAGACCATTAAATCCAAACTGGGCTGTTTGTGGAAAGCTTTTGTGTTAAAAACAAGGTGAGTCGCGGACTTGAGAATTGCTTGTCTAGTGTATTTAATGTACCATACTGTATTGTCTCCTGGAAAGCTGTTCCGTATGGGTGCTGTACCACACTGTATTATATGTGCTGGTAAACTGTTCCGTATGCTCACAGCTAGTTTAAAGCCGTATTTAGCCGCATTAGAATGAAATGGTCTACTGGGAGATATGATTAGTACGGATCTTAAAATCAATGCATAAATGCAGATGTTGGGTTTTATTACTAGAAGCGTTAGCAGTAATTGGTGTAAAATTGCATTTTTCAGCTTTGTCATGCACGTGTTAGGCCCATATATATTATTCATTTCAGGTTTGGTCGCCATAGTATAGAATGGGCATAAATTTACTTGAACAGGTACACACAAGGATGACGAAGTTAATTCCAGTAAATTTAATCTGTTCTTGTGAAAATAGATTAAGGAATATTAAATGGGATTGAACTTGCAGGGGGTATTAAGGATGATTACGGATAAATGTAGCTTCGGCGATTAGACTGATTAAAGGCGAGGGAGCTAATGAATTAATCCATTCAGTACAAAAGATGGGAAGAAATGTACAAATGTAGTTTAACTTATAACAAGAGAGGATCTACGAGAAATCTAATTTATGTTACAAAATATGTCTTGCAAGAATGTGTTGGAGGGACCCAGAGACATTTGAAGACGTTACACGACCAAAGATCACATTCACTCCAAACATCTACCACCTACGGGGCTACTCTTGCCTGTACCACCTCTTGTGCCAGGCATGAGTACATAAACAGTTCCATATATAAATAATTTTTTTTTATATTTTTCAAATATGAAACCTATTGACTGTCATCGACAGTTTGTCATATTGTCATATGCTTATCAGTTTGTCATATTGACTGTCAGTATGACAAAACTGTCATATTGACAGTTTTCAAATATAAAAACATATTGACTGTCGTCAGTCAATCACCACCAGGGGAGAAACGTCACCAACAGGTGGCGAATATTCACATGCAAAGAAGAGTATGTTCGAGATGATGATGGTTGAAAGATGATTAGGGTGCGGCTGGTCATTGTATGTCAGGTCATGTTGTGGTAGGTCAGGGTGTGGCTGGTCGAGGTATAGCTGGGTGGGACAGGGTAGGGTGTGGCTGGGTGGGACAGGGTAGGGTGTGGCTGGGTGGGACAGGGTAGGGTGTGGCTGGGTGTGGCTGGGTAGGGTGGGGAAGGGTGGCATAGACCCCCATACCCATAACCGGGTATTGGGTCCTGATTTTGTTAACATTTTAAAGCTCATTTAACAGTTTACCGATTTCGTTTTTTTCGAAAGTGAAGAGCTTAACATTTTCTCAGCATTCACCATAAACCATTTGTCACATCAATGTACTAGGACTAAGTCTGTATACTTTTTTTGTTCACACTCTCTGTCGCTCTAAGGGTGTTGGACCTTTTGCTGCCTAGTTTAGGGTCGGCACAGTTGTATATTGTGCTGATTATGACACCATCGAGAGCAAATATAAAAACATAAGCCCTAACACTGAGCCTTGCGGCACTCCACTTGTCCCATCACGCCCGTGTGAGTTCTGAACACTCAGTGCCAGTTGTTTGCGCCCAGTTAGGAGTTTTCAGTCTCATTGCATATCTGTTCCATGCGATTTTATTTTCAAAAACCTTCTATGAGGAACTTTTTAGAAAATCTTCCGGAGTTTCAGACATATTATCTCAACTGCTTTGGTGTCATCATGTACATTAACGATCTGAACAAGAGGGGATCAGTTTGGTGGGAGTGGTCAGAGAGATTAGTGGGAAGTGAGACGGTTGATCGATGATTGAAAAAGATTAAGCCACCCAAGAGGTGGCACGGGCATGAATAGCCCGTAAGTGGTGGCCCTTTTGAGCCATTACCAGTATCAAGAGATGATACGGAGATCGGTGGAGGTGCGACTGTACCCTGCGTGACGGAAGATGTCTCCTGGCGTGAGACGGTTGGGAATAAGAAGGATATAAAATAGGGGTAAGGTGGGGGGGGGGGGGGAGCAAACGGATATATAAACCGCGGTGCGAGGCGCAAATGGTTCATAACTAGTTGACCTGACCATGCCGGCCACCATGCCCACCCGCCTGGAGAGGTGTACCCTGGTGCTGCTGCTGCTGCTGGCGGTGGGAGCCGCTCTCGTTGACGCCAGACCTCCGGAGTACGACTACTCTCCTCAGTACCCACCTATATCGCCCTTCGATATTATACAAGGTGATTATAAGTGTTCCCATGTGATTTATAGTGTCTCCATGTGATTTATAGTGTCCCCATGTGATTTATAGTGTCCCCATGTGATTTATAGTGTCCCCATGTGATTTATAGTGTCCCCATGTGATTTATAGTGTCTCCGTGTGATTTATAGTGTCCCCGTGTGATTTATAGTGTCTCCATGTGATTTATAGTGTCTCCATGTGATTTATAGTGTCTCCATGTGATTTATAGTGTCTCCATGTGATTTATAGTGTCCATGTGATTTATAGTGTCTCCATGTGATTTATAGTGTCCCCATGTGATTTATAGTGTCCCCATGTGATTTATAGTGTCCCCATGTGATTAATAGTGTCCCCATGTGATTTATAGTGTCCCCATGTGACTTATAGTGTCCCCATGTGACTTATAGTGTCCCCATGTGACTTATAGTGTCCCCATGTGACTTATAGTGTCCCCAGGTGACTTATAGTGTCCCCAGGTGACTTATAGTGTCCCCAGGTGACTTATAGTGTCCCCAGGTGACTTATAGTGTCCCAGGTGACTTATAGTGTCCCCAGGTGACTTATAGTGTCCCCAGGTGACTTATAGTGTCCCCAGGTGACTTATAGTGTCCCCAGGTGACTTATAGTGTCCCCAGGTGACTTATAGTGTCCCCAGGTGACTTATAGTGTCCCCAGGTGACTTATAGTGTCCCCAGGTGGCTTATAGTGTCCCCAGGTGACTTATAGTGTCCCCAGGTGACTTATAGTGTCCCCAGGTGACTTATAGTGTCCCCAGGTGACTTATAGTGTCCCCAGGTGACTTATAGTGTCCCCAGGTGACTTATAGTGTCCCCAGGTGACTTATAGTGTCCCCAGGTGACTTATAGTGTCCCCAGGTGACTTATAGTGTCCCCAGGTGACTTATAGTGTCCCCAGGTGATTTAGTGTCCCCAGGTGATTTAGTGTCCCCAGGTGACTTATAGTGTCCCCAGGTGACTTATAGTGTCCCCAGGTGACTTATAGTGTCCCCAGGTGACTTATAGTGTCCCCAGGTGACTTATAGTGTCCCCAGGTGACTTATAGTGTCCCCAGGTGACTTACAGTGTCCCCAGGTGACTTACAGTGTCCCCAGGTGACTTACAGTGTCCCCAGGTGACTTACAGTGTCCCCAGGTGACTTACAGTGTCCCCAGGTGACTTACAGTGTCCCCAGGTGACTTACAGTGTCCCCAGGTGACTTACAGTGTCCCCATGTGATTTATAGTGTCCCTCTGTGATTTAAAATGTCCCTAGATGATTTACAGTGACCCCCAGATAATTTATGTGTCCCCCGGATGATTTATGGTGTCCCCGGGTGATTTATGGTGTCCCCGGGTGATTTATGGCGTCCCCGGGACGGTGCACGGTGTCCCCGGGACGGTGCACGGTGTCCCCGGGACGGTGCACGGTGTCCCCGGGACGGTGCACGGTGTCCCCGGGACGGTGCACGGTGTCCCCGGGACGGTGCACGGTGTCCCCGGGACGGTGCACGGTGTCCCCGCGACGGTGCACGGTGTCCCCGCGACGGTGCACGGTGTCCCCGCGACGGTGCACGGTGTCCCCGCGACGGTGCACGGTGTCCCCGCGACGGTGCACGGTGTCCCCGGGACGGTGCACGGTGTCCCCGCGACGGTGCACGGTGTCCTCGGGACGGTGCACGGTGTCCCCGGGACGGTGCACGGTGTCCCCGGGACGGTGCACGGTGTCCCCGGGACGGTGCACGGTGTCCCCGGGACGGTGCACGGTGTCCCCGGGGGATTGACGGTGTCCACGGGACGGTGCACGGTGTCCCCGGGACGGTGCACGGTGTCCCCGGGACGGTGCACGGTGTCCCCAGGACGGTGCACGGTGTCCCCGGGACGGTGCACGGTGTCCCCGGGTGATTGATGGTGTCCAAGGGACGGTGCACGGTGTCCCCGGGTGATTCATGGTGTCCCCGGGACGGTGCACGGTGTCCCCGGGACGGTGCACGGTGTCCCCGGGTGATTCATACCGTCCCGGGGACGGTGTACGGTGTCCCCGGGACGGTGCACGGTGTCCCCGGATGATTCATGGTGTCCCCGGGACGGTGCACGGTGTCTCCGGGTGATTCATAGCGTCCCGGGGACGGTGCACGGTGTCCCCGGGTGATTGATGGTGTCCCCGGGACGGTGCACGGTGTCCCCGGGTGATTGATGGTGTCCCCGGGACGGTGCACGGTGTCCCCGGGTGATTGATGGTGTCCCCGGGACGGTGCACGGTGTCCCCGGGTGATTGATGGTGTCCCCGGGACGGTGCACGGTGTCCCCGGGTGATTCATGGTGTCCCCGGGACGGTGCACGGTGTCCCCGGGTGATTCATGGTGTCCCCGGGACGGTGCACGGTGTCCCCGGGTGATTCTTGGTGTCCCCGGGACGGTGCACGGTGTCCCCGGGTGATTCATAGGGTCCCGGGGACGGTGTTCGGTGTCCCCGGGACGGTGCACGGTGTCCCCGGGTGATTCATGGTGTCCCCGGGACGGTGCACGGTGTCTCCGGGTGATTCATAGCGTCCCGGGGACGGTGTACGGTGTCCCCAGGACGGTGCACGGTGTCCCCGGGTGATTCATGGTGTCTCCGGGTGATTCATGGCGTCTCCGGGTGATTCATAGCGTCCCCGGGTGATTCATAGCGTCCTGGGTGATTCATAGCGTCCTGGGTGATTCATAGCGTCCCCGGGTGATTCATAGCGTCCCCGGGTGATTCATAGCGTCCCCGGGTGATTCATAGCGTCCCCGGGTGATTCATAGCGTCCCCGGGTGATTCATAGCGTCCCCGGGTGATTCATAGCGTCCCCGGGTGATTCATAGCGTCCCGGGGACACCGTACACCGTCCCCGGGAAGGTGCACGGTGTCCCCGGGTGATTCATGGTGTCTCCGGGTGATTCATGGCGTCCCCGGGTGATTCATGGCGTCCCCGGGTGATTCTTAGTGTCCCCGGGTGATTCATAGCGTCCCCGGGTGATTCATGGCGTCCCCGGGTGATTCATGGCGTCCCCGGGTGATTCATGGCGTCCCCGGGTGATTCATGGCGTCCCCGGGTGATTCATGGCGTCCCCGGGTGATTCATGGCGTCCCCGGGTGATTCATGGCGTCCCCGGGTGATTCATGGCGTCCCCGGGTGATTGATGGTGTCCCCGGGACGGTGCACGGTGTCCCCGGGTGATTGATGGTGTCCCCGGGACGGTGCACGGTGTCCCCGGGTGATTGATGGTGTCCCCGGGACGGTGCACGGTGTCCCCGGGTGATTCATGGTGTCCCCGGGACGGTGCACGGTGTCCCCGGGTGATTCATAGGGTCCCGGGGACGGTGTTCGGTGTCCCCGGGACGGTGCACGGTGTCCCCGGGTGATTCATGGTGTCCCCGGGACGGTGCACGGTGTCTCCGGGTGATTCATAGCGTCCCGGGGACGGTGTACGGTGTCCCCGGGACTGTGCACGGTGTCCCCGGGTGATTCATGGTGTCTCCGGGTGATTCATGGCGTCTCCGGGTGATTCATAGCGTCCCCGGGTGATTCATAGCGTCCTGGGTGATTCATAGCGTCCTGGGTGATTCATAGCGTCCCCGGGTGATTCATAGCGTCCCCGGGTGATTCATAGCGTCCCCGGGTGATTCATAGCGTCCCCGGGTGATTCATAGCGTCCCCGGGTGATTCATAGCGTCCCGGGGACGGTGTACGGTGTCCCCGGGAAGGTGCACGGTGTCCCCGGGTGATTCATGGTGTCTCCGGGTGATTCATGGCGTCCCCGGGTGATTCATGGCGTCCCCGGGTGATTCTTAGTGTCCCCGGGTGATTCATAGCGTCCCCGGGTGATTCATGGCGTCCCCAGGTGATTCATGGCGTCCCCGGGTGATTCATGGCGTCCCCGGGTGATTCATGGCGTCCCCGGGTGATTCATGGCGTCCCCGGGTGATTCATGGCGTCCCCGGGTGATTCATGGCGTCCCCGGGTGATTCATGGCGTCCCCGGGTGATTCATGGCGTCCCCGGGTGATTCATGGCGTCCCCGGGTGATTCATGGCGTCCCCGGGTGATTCATGGCGTCCCCGGGTGATTCATGGCGTCCCCGGGTGATTCATGGCGTCCCCGGGTGATTCATGGCGTCCCCGGGTGATTCATGGCGTCCCCGGGTGATTCATAGCGTCCCCGGGTGATTCATGGCGTCCCCGGGTGATTCATAGCGTCCCCGGGTGATTCATGGCGTCCCCGGGTGATTCATGGCGTCCCCGGGTGATTCATGGCGTCCCGGGGTGATTCATGGCGTCCCCGGGTGATTCATGGCGTCCCCGGGTGATTCATGGCGTCCCGGGTGATTCATAGCGTCCCCGGGTGATTCATGGCGTCCCCGGGTGATTCATGGCGTCCCCGGGTGATTCATGGCCTCCCCGGGTGATTCATGGCGTCCCCGGGTGATTCATGGCGTCCCCGGGTGATTCATGGCGCCCCCGGGTGATTCATGGCGTCCCCGGGTGATTCATGGCGTCCCCGGGTGATTCATGGCGTCCCCGGGTGATTCATGGCGCCCCCGGGTGATTCATGGCGTCCCCGGGTGATTCATGGCGTCCCCGGGTGATTCATAGCGTCCCCGGGTGATTCATAGCGTCCCGGGGACGGTGTACGGTGTCCCCGGGAAGGTGCACGGTGTCCCGGGTATCCCGCAGATTTTCTTAATTCGTTTAGTGTATATTTTTTGTTTATATATGTGTGAATTTACAAGCATCCATATAATATACATCACCATACTGACTGTGGGTATATTCATCTCCTCAGATGGCAGTAGTTACCAGCCCAGCATCCCTGCCAACTACCCTGCACATGGTTACCCCTCAAGATACCCCTCAAGATATCCCTCAGGATATCCCTCAGGATACCCCTCAGGATACCCCTCAGGATACCCCTCAGGATACCCCTCAGGATACCCCTCAGGATACCCTTCAGGATACCCCTCAGGTTACCCCTCTGGTTATTCTCACCGTTCCAGGAATTACCAAAACCCGACGGCTGTCTTCCCAGGATCTCAAGGATACAAACACTCTTCTTGGAAAAGCCCATCCCGCATCATACACGATTTCTTGAAGACATTATAGGGTCGTCGAGGGGGCATTCGATCCCGCGATCGTCGTCGCCCATAAATAAATAACATCTTGAGGAAACCTTTGCAGCAAGATCCCATAGGGCCCTGCGAATGCTATAGGCTGGGCAGGCTTCAGATGCCAACACTGGCTCGCGTGACTTGGCGCTGCGGAAATTCCCTGATGATGATCCTGGCATAATGTTTCCACCCGACTGCCGGACACCACATCAGGATGAATCTACCTTGGGTGGAGTCCTTACAGGATACATCTATAATTACTGTTGTTTGTGTTTCATAATTGGATGTCTTTGGTATTGTCTGTTGTTGCAAGCAATAACTTAATTTTTATGTTCAGTTTATGTTATAATTCTAATTTATTGACTGTCATCTTGTCTTTAATAAAGTTGTTAAATCTCTGATAATGTTTTATAGCTACTTGTGTCATGAATGTAGGAAATAAAACCCAGTTATGAGTGGGGGATGGCTGGGACATTAGGGGGAGGGAGGGGGGTGGAAGGGGCGGGTGGGAGTGCTTGAGGCATGTGGGAGTATTCTTCATTCCTTGTCCCAGTTAGTAAATTTTAAATCTATCGATTGATTGCAATGTCTATTATCTGTGTTGATATATATCAGAATCTCGACCATTTATCGTAACAACTTAAAGTAACAATTTGCAATAATGGCGGGACTAAACAAGTGTTCAGCAGTCTAAATCAAGCTTATGTTTGATATAGAAACATTTAGCTTAGAATTTGAAAGATAGTATATAGTGGAAAAACAAAGTGTAGTTTACCATTATAGGTGTGACATAAACACTGGTATACACAGTGTACTCACTGCCGTCAGTGTACAACTGTACTCTGCAGGGTACTACTTTCATACCCGGGTGCAGAGTAGAGGACGAGCAGACTGTAGTGGGAAGCGAGCCTAACCTACCGTTGCAGGCGATGAGTCACAATAACGTGGATCAAGTATGATGACCAGACCACACACTACAATATATATACATATATCAACTCATCTGGGGATTATATACTGTGGGCGGGGTTTTCGTCCAGAGAATCGAGGCTCTTGGGCCACCAGCTGTGGGAGCGGGGCGTCTCATCTTGGAGTAATCTTTCAAACATAATCTTTCTCCTTAGCGCCTTATTTTGTACTGCTTGCAATTTCTGCATGTTAGTTTTCTTTATGGTGTGTAGTGGTACTGGGGGATATTCTAGATGCGGCCGCAGAGGGGCCCATACAGCTATAGCCCTGATCTACGAGCATATAGCCAACGCAGTGTCGAAAAAAGATCAGTGTAATATAGTGCTTAGGGACGTCTCGAAAGCCTTCGACAAAGTGTGGCACACAGGCCTAAAATATAAGATATCTGAACTAGGGCTTCCTGAGAGATTTACTGCTACTCTCTGCAGCTTTATAGACAATAGAACTGCTAGGCTTAATATCGGCAGCTACTTGGGTGACGTAATAGAACTGAAAAGTGGAGTACCACAAGGAAGCTGCCTCTCCCCCACTCTATTCAACATATATACAGCTGACCTACCCCAACCCCAACATGGAGAATACATCACATACGCTGATGATGTTACCCAAATAATATGCCAACCGGGCCCATCAAAGCCGCTACTAGCCGACAAGACCAAGGCAGCAATTGAGCTCATAAACAACTTTGAGAAGCAATGGAAAATTAGCACCAACAAACAAAAGTTCCAAATAATACACATTACGAAAAGAAACCCGGACCCCATCATCCTTGATAACCAGCCGATCCAATATGCGGAGGTAGGCAGAATACTGGGACTTATGATAAATAGAACAGGGATACAAATTCATGT